TCTGCCGCTCTCTCGAGCCATGTGGGCGGGCAATCTCCTTTGAGATGCGTTTTTTGTGAGGGGGAAATAATTCAATGACAAGGAGCTGTGGCTATCTGCTAGAGAAATGCAGGCTGAGGCGGTCCTGTCAGGAGCTGGGCGAAGAATGTGACTGGAGTCAGTGGAGAAGCAAGGTTACCTGGCCTTACTGACCTGGTTAAACACCTCAGCAGTGTGGAAGCAGAACTGGACTGAAGATGCCTGAAGTGGCCTCTGGTCAGCCTAGGGTCCTGGTAGTTGGACTTCTTCCTACTCCTCACCTAGCAAGGATCCTACTTCTGGATGGGCCAATTTAGGATTAAGTCATTGCCCGGAACTGTAAAAGGAAGATCTTGCCAACAGTGACTTTAAAAGCTAGTAAGTACGTTTCATGTGTTGGTCCCACGTGCGAGTCATGTGTGTGTACTTGTGTTTGTAAGCATCTCAATGGTACCACAGTAAGAGCGCCTACCGATTAAGAAAGTGTAAACTCCAGGACCTGTTAGGCTACATGACTTGAGGGTTTGGAGCCTCGTGAGACCAGTGGCGATGATCATAGAAGAGAGCGTATGGTTGCTGTAGCGGAAATGAGGCTGGATGGGTGCCTCTGCTTAACAGTACAACAAAATCCCAGGACGGCTGATCACACAGAAGACAGGTTTATCAGTTCTGCAGCCTGGAAAGCCCAGAATCTAGCTGTTGTTACTCTGGCTCTTACTAAAGGCCATCTTCATGGCTTGCAGACGGAAAGCATTTTGCTGTGTGCTCACATGGCAGAGCAACCTTAATTTCTCCACTCTTCACAGGAGAAAGCTAATCACACCATGAGGACCTTCCCTCATGCACTTAATGTAACTTGTCAGGGTTTAGAGCTCCATGTCCCCCAAACACTGATGCACTCGAGGTGGGGCTTTTGGAAGGTGACTCGGTCATAGGGTGCTATGTTGACCCCCTGGTGAGGTGGGTCACAGGGCACGAGACTCGGTGTGGGTGTTGCCTCCTCTGCTCTCCTCCATGCCAGGCTTTTCTATCGCTCCACTGAGCCAGCCAACCAGGAAGAAAACTGCTGAAAGCCGAGCTAACGTAACCCTTTCCTCCTGTAAGAGCGGTGGATGTCAGGTACTGAGTCTCTGCGTCAGGGAGAGTGAGACACAGCCCCAGGGACCTCTTAGAGCCCCACCTCCAAATTCTATCATGGTGCAGAGTTGCACTTCAAAGTACAGACCAGCAGGGAACAAAACTCAGTGGAAAGCAGAGTAAAACGAGGCAAGCTCACAAAGGGCATTTTCCTATGCCGGGACTGGATTACTGACTAGCAAAGCTCAACGAACGAGGGAGGCTTCCCTTTAGAACGCCAGAGAGACACTGAGAAATATTTCTGTTTGCATAAACTAAAATGGATGTTATGAACACCATATACATGTGGCAAATGACTGCAACTTAAAAAATCAAACTAAGTGAAGAGAGAAAACCTGCTTAATGAGTAGTCTTAATAGAGAGTCTGTTTTGGCAATTCTATTGTGATAGTCTTTGGCACGTGCATTTTCTCTACCCCTTTCAAAATGCTACGTTCACTCCTGGTCACGGGGGAAAGGAGCACAGCTAAACCCTACAACAGGATAAATCGGATGCAAGACTTGTCTTTCCTAGAAGCAGGATTTGACTCAGTTTTTCTACAAAATTTATTTAAAGTGGATGTCAACTCATACAGCTTACATGTAACGATACCCACATACATTTCTTGTACAAATACAAAAAACTTACTCAAGACAGAGGCTGTGAGACATGATACAGGAAAAGCAAGCATCATCGGGGACAGTCAGTCCTCAGCAATCAAGCACACACGGTCGCCTCAGTGCCGAAGAAGTTCTGTTCGCGGCTGCCAGCCTTCCCACCAGCATGGGCCCAAGACGGACGCCACTGCTCGGGCTTCCTCACCACTGAGTCTTGAAGCATTGCCGGTGCGTTCTCCTTGCTTCTCAGAGTCAATCTCAAGGAAGGACTTAAATCTGACTGTGGTATTCGCAAAATTCTACAAATATTTTTTACAAGTATCTTTCTTTGCAATACTTTTTACCCATCGTCTTACCTTGTGTAAGAAGTTCAAAAGAACCATACGACTCGGGGAGAGAGCAGGACAGGGAGAGAAAGGGTAACTTACGGTAACATTTCAGATTGCAAGGTACTGCGTAACAAGTTTGTGGACTTGTAAATGAACTGGGTGCCAGTCTCACACAAACTACATGTGGAACCCTGGATAAGTCTCACCTTTCAACTTCAGCTCATTTAACTGAGTAGAACTTCTAATCTCCACTTCTGACCTTGCTTTATGAGAAATGGCCAACATAAAACATGCTTGTCTAAAAATAAGTTTTCATATCAATAAAATCACAAAGTATTTGTTATAAAACCATCTATCCTATTCATACCTAATGTCATCTAATATTGATGGGAATGCTACTAAAATATACTCGATGCCACCTTCGAAAAACTGCATAAAAATATATGCTGCTTCTCAGTCAACACATGCGACAGTGCTGAGGACGATGCCGACATGTTAAGAGCTAACATGAAGAGATCTGCCACTGTGGGTGGTGTGATTTTTCAAAGGTCTATGTTCCCTGCATGTTATTTCACTCTCTGTGAGAAGGAATAAAACATTCGGAAGAATACAATGGACAGGATCAACTTGAGTCACTGATACTGAAGTCATGTAATATAAACAGAATAAAAGAAATGTAACTCAAAAATGAAGAAAAGGATGAAAAGTACATTTATTGTATTACACACAAAGGGCACGTATGTCTCCCCATTTTCCGTAACACGTAATGAAGTCTAAGCACACAAAGCAACACCTGTGGAGAGAACCAGCGGAGGCTTTGTGGACCACTGAAATACAACGGCCCAGCCAACTTCACAGAGACAGTAAAAATACCCCACCCTGAGATGTTCACTAGGTTTGGGTACAACTCAAAATAAGTTCCACCTGCTGTTCTCTCGCTATTACTTGGGTAAAGGCCTCTAAAACATCAAGACTTCCTTGGAGTATCAAGTGGGAAGCTGCTGCGGACTGGTGTAGATGTCATTCCCCTCACGGGAAAAGACTGACAGGCTAGAGCCGTACACAGTAGCCCTCCTCATAACGGCTAGGACCTGCACACTCCACACAGCTGCACAGTGATACGGCTGTACATAACAAGCAGTTCAAAGTCCTCAAATGATGTCAACCAGATTCACCTAAGACACTTGTCCCAGAGAACTGAGAAATCTCAGTTCCAGAGTCTCCTGTGCCAACTCCAGATGTGTCCGATGTACTAAAGCGCTTGTCATTACCAAGATGATGTACTTATATCTGTGCATTAAAAAAAATCACGATGGTCAGTCCCACCAGACAGGACTAGCTGCAGTGCCTACCCTCACTCATGAGCAACTGCTGACCCACACAGGGCTCAGGGAATTAGATATGTGAAAAAATGACCAATGACATCCGTACACACACACGGACTTTCCATGCAGAAGAGAAATACATCCCACCATGAATACACTGTCAGCTACCATCTCTGACTTTCTTCTTTTGGGGGAAGTGGATGTTGAGACAGGGTCTCACTATGAAGTTCATGCTGGCCTTGAACTTGGCGATCCTCCTGTTTCAGCCTCCTGAAGGTGCTGTGATTACCAGAATATGCCACTATGCCTGGCTCAGTATGATGCTTTCTTATGAGGCTGGGTGGAAACAGTGAGCTGTTCTGGTCTGCTACATGCTCAGGAATGTAAAATCATACAGGCAGCACTGCAGTAGATGATTCCGCCCTAATGTGGGTAAATCTAAGTGACCTAAGCCTGCCGGAGTTGGGCTGGCTCAGGCTGTGATCCATGGGAAAGGTGTGCTCTGTATCTTCAAGTCTTGCCATTACAACGAGTTTATGAAAATGTAACCCCATCCCAGGTTGAAAAGCATCTGTACTTTTAAGAGCTCAATATACTTTAGGAAGTACTTCCTAATTTAGATAGTAAAGTCATAAATGCCTAAAACAAGTAAGGAAAATTGGAGTAGGCCTCACATTCACAACACAATCAAGTCTCACAAAGACATGTCAAATACCCCGAAGATCAGACAACACTACACAGTTACATGAAAATACAGATGAAGAAAAAAAAAACAGAAGAAAGTCTACATACGTCTATCTAAAGCTGACAGAACACACAAATGAGTAAGGTTTCCTCTGGTCAATAATATGACATCTCTCCAATCAGCGCTTCCTTCATTCCATTATTACAGCCTTAAAGGTGAGAATGATGGTGATTATCAAAGACAGAACTACGTTCACACCCCAGCGCATCCTAGTGGGAGATGCCTTGCTGAACTGAATAGCAGGTGAGTCCTCTAAAACAAAGAAAATCCTAGCAAATATGGAGAGTGCTCTCACTGACAAACCATAGAGGCAGTCATGGTATGTGGAGAGATTTATTACACCAGGACTTTACGCCTCAAGGGACAAAACGTGCAACTCTGGTGTGCTCTGGCAAGACATCAGTCATACAGCACACTGTACTTTTTGGTAGGATGAGTGAAAGAATTACAACCAAAACACAAGTTATAAGAATATAAATATGAGGGCCAGGGATTTAGCTCAGTGGTTCCGCCACATACCTTTTAAGCACAAGGTCCCGAGTTTGATCCCCGGTACTGAAAAAAAAAAAAAAAAAAAAAAGAATATAAATATGAAAAGTAAAATTTCTACGGAGAGAAACATCTACAGTTATAAGCAAGTGGTACTTTTCAACAGCAAGTGAAAAATATGATAAACTTATAACCTTACTCTCATGTGATATTACAATGTGATATTTAGTTATCTTCTCAGTAATGAACACGATAACAATGTTAATCTACAGGATGTTTGTAACAAACTAAAAAATATATACAGAAACCTTGTTTGAAAAAATATCCATCAAAAGCAAAAAATATTTTAAAATCACCTAGAAAGGCTATTTATAAAATACAAAGTTGAAACACATGCATGCACACGCACACACAAGAGTTCAGAACCAGCCACATTAGGCCAGTAGAAAAAACACAACAATGTAAAAATTAATGTTTCGATAGGCAATTTAACCACAAAATTATTCAAAAAAACAACATAATACTTAAGCCTAAGAACACTGCCCATTAAAGTTATACCATATTGCTTAAACAAAACTTATGTTACTATGTCACCTCAATGTTTATTTCTGAGAACAATTAGATTTTTAAAAAGGGTACAGTGGAGCACATCTGTTAACTTCAGCTACTTACGAAGGCTGAAGCAGGTGGATTACCAGGCTAGCCTGAGAAACAGCAAGATCCTGTCTCAGAAAATAATCCTAAAAACTTATACACAGTCCAGAGATCTACCTTAAGAATGAGCCACTGATAAACACTATACATATATAATTTTTAGTACATTTCCTTCAGGTTATATAATTCTTGGAGCACTGTACAAATTAATTTGCATCAATCTCATTATATTACTCTCATTTACAAAATTCCACTACATACAAGAGCACGCTGCACAGGACTAAAACTATTTTTTTACAACTAGTAAAGGTCATGAGTTGATTCTACTCACAGAATTTTGACACAGGGTACCTTTTTACGTGGGGAGCATCTGAAGACTTCTGCGTATCTCTTATTCCAGTAATCACTCCTATATTCTGTAGCTCTGTATCAATGTGGAACCAAGGGACTAGCCATGTTCCCTCGCACTACAAATGTATGGTTCTCTCCACTGTGCATTCCTGTGTTCCTAGAAAGGTCCAGTGTTAACGAGGCCTTCTCCCTTTCTGTATTTAGGGTTACCCTCTAGGGCCAGTTCTTTCACATTTGTGAAGGGAACTGTACTGATTGGAGGCCTTCCCACCTTTCGTATGGAGGATTTCTTTCTAGTGTGACTTCTTTCGTGTCTTCTGAGGGAACGGGAATCACAGTAGGATTTCCCACACAGCTTACACACATAGGGTTTCTCTCCAGTGTGCGTCCTTTCGTGTATTTTAATGTAACTGGAAGAACTAAAAGCTTTCCCACAATACTTGCATATATAGGGTTTCTCTCCAGTATGAACTCTTTCATGCACTCGAAGGTAATTGGACCAATGGAAGGCTTTCCCACATTGCCCACATACAAAGGGTTTCTCTCCGGTATGAGTAATTTCATGTTTTCTGAGAGATCTGGGAATGTGGTAGGGTTTCCCACACTGCTTACACACATAAGGTTTTTCTCCAGTGTGAGATTTTTCATGTATTCGAATGTAACTAGTAGAACTAAAAGTTTTCCCACACTGCTTACAAACATAACGTTTCTTTCCATTGTGGGCTTCTTCATGTCTTTGAAGAGACCTGGAACAACTGAAGGCTTTGTCACATAGCTTACATATGTAGGGTTTCTCTCCACTGTGAGTTCGTACATGTCTTCGAAAAGAACTAGAAAAAGTGAAAGTTTTCCCACATTGGTTACATTCATAGTGTTTCTCTCTAGTGTGATTTCTTTCGTATATGAGAAACGACCCGGAACTGTCAAAGGCCTTGCAAGGCACCTGAAACTTATAAGGTCTATCTCCAGTGTGGGCTATTGTGGGTCTCTGCTTGTGCCCAAGACTCATGAAGGTGTTCCTACATGGCTTACCTACATAACTGTGACTTCTGAAGAGTGTTCCACATTGCTTATATTCATGCTGTTTCTCTCCAAAGAGAATCTTTTCATGGTTTTGAAGAGTACTGAGACACCTAAAGTTATCACCTGGTTCACTTTCATAGGGTTTCTCTCCAGCGGGAGTCCTTTCATATATATGAAACCACTGGGGAAAACGGAAGGCGTTCCCAGGTTCCTCATATTTATCCAACATCTCTCCGTACTCCTCATACACATACGGTTCCTGCTCAGTGTCCTCCCTGAGGGACAAATTTAGGAATGAAGGAACAATAAGGTCATTTCCACAAACGTGGGCTTCACCTAGTTTTACTCCAGGAGAAGTTTTCATGTTCACAATAGGATCTGGAAGCGAGCTGAAGATTTCCCCACATTGACTACTTTCTTTATATTCACAGAAACTCTCTACCACTTGACTTCTGTAAAAAATGAGAAGCACATTACTAAGGGTGTGTTTATTAATGGTTTCCCAGGAGAAATGATGGTTTCATGCCAATAAGAACTTTTGAAAATGAATGGAGTGAGAGGTCTGCAAAATCGCCCAAGGGCAGCTATGAGCAATCCAAGGTATTCATAGAGGGCAGTGTCGGCAGCCCTTCTAGAGGACTCAATGATACGAACAGCCCGCTGCAGTATGTGTGCCACAGGCTTGGCACCACTGATTTGGGTTTCTATACCATTTCCAAGTGAACTATTTTACAAAGTCTGAATGCCTATATCACTTTGACATGCACTTGAATATTTAAAAGGCTTGGGATCCAAATCATTTTTTTATTATTGACATATTTGTGTATATATAATGGGGTTTTTCAAACGGGTGTAAGCACAAAGCTCACTTTGTTCATGTACATCTTATATCCAAGCCCTGAAGGTAATTTCAGACCTTCTGAGTAATTCTGAACATGGAAACAAAATGCCTGTGAATGAGGACCACCAGAAAGTGTCACTTAAGACACCTGGTGGTGCTTCAGATGTTTCCAATTCTGGAGTGCTTTGAGTTTTGGATTTTCCATTATGGATAAAAACCAGTACATATTTTTAGAGATAATTTTTTGAGATTCTAAGAATTTAACTCTCACTGGCATCATTTGCTTGTTTTCAGTATTTCCAGTCACTCCATAGTTCTTGGGGGACTTTGATTTCTCCTGTGGGTGCAAATTACCTTAGATTTCTCCTGGAATTTTCATCTTCAATGTTCTGGTCCTCCCAATTTTTTCCTAAAAGGCAGAGCCAGGGAAATAATTGTGAATATACATGAATAACCTTAGAAACATCAACATCCTAGAAAATAATATTCTGTAACAAGGTTGATGGTATAGTGCCACTATCACAGTACATTCACCAAAATGTTCCCTTTCCATGTCCTGACCATAGACTAGCACTGATCAGCAGGAAACCCTTGTTCCCTGACTAAGTAAAGTGAAGTCACCATACCTATAGCAGCCAGGTTCCAGAAAGTTTCCTGTATCACATCTCTGTAGAGCCTCTTCTGTGAAGTATCCAGCAAAGCCCACTCTTCCAGGGTGAAGTTCACAGCCACATCCTCAAAGGTCACCGACTCCTAAATCCTCCCACACGTATTAAAGGAGAAAGGGTGAGACTCAGAGCACTGGAGATGCAGACTCTCATCAAAGATCGTTCGGTGCTGTGTTCTCCAAATGCCTCACTCCTGTTTGTCACTCTTAACTTTCCCTCTACACTCACACCCTCTCTCACACAGAAATTCTGCTGCTAGATCAGAACTACTTGGAAGAGAACAGAAGGGAAACACCCATCTCACCGCTGGGTCACCCTAGTTTCTCTGTAGTATTCCTAGTAACAAAGTTCTACGGCTTACTGCACTGAAGAACACTAACACCAGCAGTCCAGACTGCTAAAACAGAAACCACTGAAAACAAAGTCTGATTTTCTGCTGCTGTTAAAGTCTGGTCATTGGTTATCTGAGAAATGCTCTTGGGATGGAAATCACTGAATTTACTGTAAAAGGGTGTGTGAGGTTCCTGGTGTATGACAGTGTGATGCTTGTTTAACTCCCTGCATCTTTGTCAATATTTGCGATTTTCTGATAAATTCATCACAGGGAGTCAACAGATGCCCAGACTACACTCTGGATAAGACTTTAATGGGCAGTGGAGACAGATACTGTGCATCACTTCTTGTCATCTCTGGTTACTGAGGGAATCAAGTTCATCCTGTGACTGCATTGAGAGACCTTTAGATCTCTGTACCTGTGTTTTTACAGAACTATTTAAATATTAAATATGACTCATGAAGGATAATTCATCAGGCTAAAGAAAAAACCTGTTTCTACTGGGGAATATCAAAGGATGATGAGGCAAGAGGAAGGATGGAACGTGGTTAGCAAGAGTCAGTGTCACCAAGGTGTCAGCTCTCACAAAGATCCTTAGCCTTCTACCTTTCACTAGTGAATAAACACTTTACCAAATCTACTAGGTATAACAAGAGTTGAAAACTGTTTAAAACCCTGGAAAATAAAGAGTCACCCTTTGCTAATATGAAACTTGAGACTATACTCTTCAGGACACCACACTATTTCTGGTTCTCTTTGCAGTACTTGGGCCTGAACTCAAGGCCACGCGCATGCGAGATGAGTGTCCCACCACCGAGCTGTATCTCCAGCCCAGAACCCTACACTATGAAGAGAGAGGCTCACACATATCACAAGAAAAGGAAAAGATCTTCACCAACTCCACCAGTAAAGAGAAAACAGATGCACAATACAGCAGACACTGTACAACAAACAGGGCCAGAAATCATAGCCTCTTCAGACGTGAAGTGGGGACAGACAGGAACTGACTTGGAACGTGGTCCGTACACCCTACACTGTACTGACAATCACCACATAATACTGAAACAGGAAAGACAAAACCTGAACACTTTGAGAAGCCAACATTAAATAAATTTTGGGTCTAACAACACAGTTTCTACACACAAAGAATAACCCTTAAGAAATTTAAATTACAAAAACTAAAGAGGTAAAAAACAAAAGTTGAAGAAATTATTTGCAATACATCCAACAGATTAGCACATAGAGTAGAATAAATAAAAACATAACTGAAAAAATATTAAAAGAAATCTAACTCAAGATAAAGCATCACGTAATCTGCAGCCCCTCATAGAGGAAATACCCAGATAAATAAATGTGTTGAGGACCACAGAAAGCAAGCAACCAGTGATACCTGAAGGTCACACTGATGTGGTCCAATGTCAGTTCCTGCACTTGGAATTTTACTACAACATGCACGCCAGTCATTCTTCATTAACATCCAGAGAACACGCCCCGCATTTTCACCAGACAGAAGCACTGTTTATAAGAGCTCTGAAAAGTAGCCTTGAAAAAGCTGGCACCCAGGGTCTGCTGCAATGGAGGAGGGCACAGGGTGGCCCTCGTCCAACAGTAACAGGTGCAAAACACACCGCGGGAAAGGAGGACACATCAGGGTTTCTCTCCACTCCTTGTATTTGTTTGTCTGGTACCAGGGATCAAACTCAGGACCTTACGCTTGTGCGGCAGGTGGCGGCACCACTGAGCCGAATTCCCGGCCCTTTCTCCCCTCCTTTTAACACTCACTGAGAGCTGGGGTGTCACTAAGGACACCGCCAAATGAAATACCACGTGTGAAGACAGGAAAAAGAGCCAAAGGATCAAGATATGGTGTACCACGTGGCACGATATGGATGACCCAGTCTGGGCACCAAGGCCTTATTGTGAATCTTGATGAGGGTGTCAAAAATACTTATAATAATAAAATTTGACCAGAAACTTTACGAAAATCAATTTCATAAATAATGTAGAGGTTACAACTGGAAAGAACACACTAGTATCCGTACTGTACATTGCTTCCTTGGAACTGGGCACTGCAAGTGGTATTCAAAGACCTGGCAGTGACAAACAGAGCAGCACAAGTCGCGGCCTGAGATACACAGACACCAGCAAGCAGGGGACAACACACACAGCCTGCGGGAGGAAGGGCAGGTCAGCAAGGTGGAGCCTGTAAGGCGGACACAGGAGCTGGTCGGCGGCCACGCATCCTGCTCTACTGCCCCTGGGGCCATTCCCTGTAGAGGTGTGGATCTGCTAAGGACAGACACTGGCACTGAGGAGGCTATGGAATGAAAACCGAGCACACGCACGTTACTGCTCACGTAGCCAAGGCCCGATGGGAGCTGGCAGGCCTCCTGCGCAGGGAACAAGCGCACTCAGACAGGAGAAAGGTACAGTCCCCAGACGGGTCTGGAAGGTCTTCTCCTCCCAGGCTTCTGCAAACCTGATGGTGTGGGGCAGAAAGAAAGGAGTACTGAGGGCAAAATACTGTCACCAAACGTCAGGAAACAGAGCCACACATTCCTACTTCTCTGTAGAGCACCGAAGGACAAAGGGGGCAGTGCTTCCCCCCAGAAGGAAGAAAAAAAAAAACTAATGCAAAAATTCTCCCAGACTCAGACAACTAAGGACAAGATGCAATCTGTTTTCATCAAACTGGAGAAACAAAGAGGCAGACACAGAGTAGCACCACTTACTACAACAGAAACCTGTAGCAAGAAAACCTAGTGTCCCTGATGAATTGCTAAAGGCTCAGGGAAGAAAATTTTGAGTTGCAAAACCTCCAGAAGGTCCTGTTGTGATGATCAGACAAAAACTGCTGCTTCTGACAGCAGGAATCAAAGAAGGAGGCATTTTAAAAATTCTTCTTTTACCATATGTTCTGTCTGGGGAAAAATAAAAAGTATTTCCCCAAAGCCCAAATTACTGGGAGATTTGGGGGCCAACTGAAAATCTCAATTTCAACCTCTCTCATCTTCGCAACTCAACACTGGAAAGAGATTCTCGTTTCCAAGGTTACCTGAGCAGTCCACTCAAATGTCACCTTAACAACTACAAACCACCACAAATGCACAGAAACAGGGAAACACGGCTCATTGTTGGAAAACCACATTGAGAAAAACAACTTAGGAGAAACCGCAGACATGGAAACCGGAAAAGACACAGTCTCTTAAAGAACTCTCTTACCTATGCTCAAAGGGGAAGAGGCAACCATGATGAGAGAACAGAGGGAGACCAGGAAAAGGATGTATCCGTAGACTATATAAAGAACTAGAAATTACTGAGTAAGATTATATAGAAATTACTCAAGTACAGAGTACAGCTTAAAGGAGACCATCACTATAGGATTTCCAGGGCAGATCCCAGAAAGCAGAACACAGAACCGACAAACATGAAGAAGATATACAGCAAGATCCTATCTCAAGAAAAAAAGAAAAAACATAAAGATAAGCCAGTTAAAACTAGGCAGCCTGAAGAAGGAGAAGAGAACAGTAACATTCCAAGAATGTGTCTCTGGGATACTTGACACGCACCAAGTATAGAAGGAAGCAAATAAGTAAGTAAAGAACTTTGATGAAGAGAATAAAATGGAAGACAAGAATTCTTCCCATCTTCCTTAACAGATAAGCATTTGTTTAAACCAATGGTATCGACAATGTACCAGACGGTTACAGTTCCTGATGGGAAACTCATCAACAGCAAGTGTACATAGAATGGGAAGAGGAGGTGGAAACATTTCTGCAGTCCTGCCAATGCCTCTGGAACAGTACACCATGAGATTAAAGTTGATTTATATTTACCGCAAGCGGTTTGTTCTAACATTGAGAAACCACTAATATGATTTTAGGAAACAAGCACACCTAATATGGAGTAAAAACAGAATCATATAAAATGCCCAATTAAAGGGAGAAGGCAGAAGAAGATGGAAATTTAAAAACTTACAACTAGCTGGGCATGGTGGCGCATGCCTGTCATCCCAGCATTCGGGAGGCTGAGGCAGGAGGATCACTAAGAGTTCGAGACCAGCCTGGGCTACACAGTGAGTCCCAGGGCAGTCTCAACAACACAGTGAGACCCTGTCTCAAGAAAACAAAAAACAAAAAACAAAAAAACACACAACTAAAACAAAAGTAGAAAACACAAATCTGGTACATCAATAACCAACGGCTGGTGAGCATGCCTGTCAGCCTCACTGACTTCAGCACACTCTGCAGACAGTACAGCACACTCAGAGAGTCTGGGTGGTCAGGGGCCCTGACCTCGGGGACCGGAAACCAGCCCTGAGCTTCCTGGCTCTTCCCACTGCTATGAAGTGAGCAGCTCTGCTCTCCTGCGCCCTCCGTCACGTTTCTGAAGCCTGGAGACAGCCAAACGGCTCCTTCCCTCCTTCAGTCGTGCTGCCAGGCACTGTGTCCTAGCAACAGGAAAACTGACCAGCACAATCCATGCACCTTCTTCCCTTTTTTTTTTGGTACCAGGGATCAAACTTGGGTCCCTGCACTTGCGAGGCAGGCGGTGGAACCACTGAGCTAAATCCTCCGCCCCTAGCACAATCCACTTAAACACTCATCATTGTACACACTGATAAAAGTACAGAGTGAAAAAGACAGATCAGAGAAAAGACCAACTCTCTGCAAAACACAAAAACATTAAAGTGAAATGGAGAGAGATGAAAAGATATTGTTCAAACGAACCACAATGTTAGTACTAGACTACCGCTAAGAGGTTTCTATTGTACTCTGAAAAGCTACTTCGGGACTAGGGTAGTGTCAGCGTTCTCAACAGGGGAGAACAAGGTACCTACGGGAATGCATCAGTTAATTATGAAAGCTGGATTAACCAGGTGAACGGTGGCACAATGGCTCCGGTCCGGAGAAACGCCCGGGCTCAGGAACACCCCGCTCCAGATGGTACCGACATAAGCCCTGCCTCCCCTCCCGACCCGCGCAGGCCAGGCGCTCCCCTTCCCAATCCCGTTTGCTATAAATCAGCAGAACTGTTCGCCATAATCAAACACACGAAGCAAACTCTTTAGGTTTTTCTCCTCAGCTCACCTAGCACAACACCCCCACTTTACTGTTGCCCTCACGCCGTCCTCAGGGGAAGCCTACTGTGCACCGGAGCGGACGTGGGCACCCTTCACAGTGCCCTCCTCTCCCGCCTCCTTTCTACACCCGCCTGCTCCACCATGCGAAGAAAAAGCACTTTCTGCCTGACCAGGGTAATGCTCACAGACCTGAGAGTTCAGGCTTCCCTCGAACGCAGCACGCCTTTCACAGTCAGGTCCCGACGGAAGTCCTTCTTGTTTATTTAGTTATTTCTGAGACAGGGTCTCCCTACGCAGTTCAGGCTGGCCTCAAACTTGCGGCGATCCTCCCGCGTTAGCCTTCCAAGTGCTGCGATCAACAGGGCGCACGGCCACACTGGCTTCCAGCCATTCATTGTTAAGCAATCAGGTCTAGATTAGCCCCAGAATGACAACCACAAGCTCAGACAGGCAAACTCTTCTCCCCAGCCACACCAGCCCACGAGTGGACCCCAGCTTTTCAGTGACTCAGGAGCAAGGGCTGTTTCAGTCTCCTGGGAGTATCCGGGACACCTGCGGGACAGATGCACAGGGGGAAACAAAGGCTTCTGGTGATGGCCCTTACAAGCTCTCTATCAACCTTACCATTAAGTCACAGGAGTGGGTCCTCTGTCCTCAGAAGAGACTTGTTCAGTTATTTTAAAAGAAAATATCAGGGCTCAAATATTGCAGCAAAACCACTGAAATTCAGTGTTTATGTACGTATATGCAAAAGGAGGACAATTAAGCACGTTTCAATGCTTAACAAGAAAAAACACAAGTACTCCTAATTTTCCTACAATAAAGGTATCATTTCATTCTTGCAACAAAAAAATTACTTAGCAAATAATTATATTTGAACACTTTTGGGGACTGACTCTGAAAAGCAGGTACCAAAAACAAGATTCTGGCTGGGCATGGTGGTGCACACCTGTAATACCAGCACTCAGGAGGCTGAGGCAGGAGGATCACCATAAGTTTGAGACCAGTCTGGGCTACACAGCAAGACTTTGTCTCAAAAAACAAAAAAAAACAAAAAAAAAACAAAAACAAGATTCTGTTATTCACTGTAACAAGTGCCTCACCCTGGAAAGAAGGATATTTTGGAAGGTGTTTGTAATTCACTAGCTCGCTTACATGCTGACTCCTGGAAATGTACTAATTTCCCTACAACAACCATGCCCATTTCTCTGAGATTTTTACCCCAGCAGAACTCTGAAGACTAAGCCTTAGAATTCCAGATGAGCTCACCTTACTCCTCCAAAAAAAAGAACAGACCAGGAAAATGTACACTACAAAGAAAAGTAAAAATTAAAATTTGTAAATAACATTCTGTTTTGGACCTAGGATTGAACCCAGGGAGTGAGCTCTATCCTCGCCCTTTTTAGTTTTTGAATTTTGAGACAGTCTCTCTCGATGTCGCTCAGGCTCCATTCAAACCTGCAATTCTCCTGCCTCGAACCCCCAGTCACTGAGACTACTGGGGTGGTACACCCCCGTGCCTGAGAATAAAATGTAAAATGTTAACAAAGAAAATATAAAGCTAGACATTCACTTTTTTTTCCCTGAAATGTACTTGCTACGGGCTCATTCGACTATAGTTCACCTTATCTTCCTAGCTACTCTGAAAACCTGAAGCCAAACGTGGCTCTTTACAGGACAAATGCGGGGACAATCAGCACAGAACCGGAAGCCAAACACGTCTGAATCAAATTTTAAGCGCCAAGCGAGGTCACCTTTCTCTTCAAGACATCAGCCCACCCTCCCGTGCACACTGGGCTGTGCCTCCTGTGTGCCCAAAGTGAGAAGCGCTTTGCGGTTCGGGCACCACCTCCGAGCGGGCGAGTTTTCTTTGTCTTCTGGGACTGTTTGTCTCCGTTCAGGAGTCAGAGAATCCAGGGCCCAGGAATCATTTCTACCCATCATCTCAATACCAACATCTAAGGAAGGAACCCTTGCTTAGGGAGGAAAGTCGTAACATCCGAAAGGGATACCTGTTTGGATGATGTGCACAACAGGAGATTCCCCCTAGCCCCAGTCCATCAGGCAGATCCATCCCACTATTCCTACTGTCCTCCAGGACCCAGGGCCAGACATTTACTAGACCAGCGACAGCCACTGGGGGAATCTAGGATCGCCATCGTCACACACTCCTGAAACATACGACCGGCAGACAACAGAAAGGCGAGCGGAGGACACATCGGTCTGTCATGCTCTCAAAAGGTAACCTCAAGCCAGCACAGGTAGTACATGACTGTCATCCCAGTGCTTAGGGAAGCTGAGGCAGGAGGATTCTAATTTCAAGCCCAGCCTGGGTAACAATGAGACCCTGACTCAAGGAAAGGAAAAAAATAAACAGAGAAGACGCAAAGGTCAGGATTAGGCCGCAGAACGCGTCCACGGCGTGTCCTGCAGAATCCCGGCTAGGTCTCGCTGTATGTAACGGTCACGTCCGCTTGGGGAGCGGCACCGGCCCCGGCCCCGGCACACGACCTCCCTGACCTCGCGTCCCCACCTCCGGCGCAG